TCCAATCCCATGCTCAGTTTCCTTCAGATGGAACTTTGGTTAGATTGATTGATTGATGATGCTATCAACTTCTGCCACTTGGTCAGATAGATCTTGGCGTCTCGGTAAAAATAACACATTAGGTTTTTGCCCTTCTAGGCAGAATAGACTCTAATTGCCTCTTATCTAATACTAACTCTCAATAAATAAGTCGTTTAATATATACTTTTATCATGATTCAACTATCCTTATGCCTATTGGTTTTGGTTAGTTACAATGGTTTTTCCAGTTTTGAGGCGGTGTTGGATGCCTACAGGCAGCCTAAGCCTTATGGGTCGGTGCCTGGTTCTAGATCCATTGACGGGCTGTGCTGCGATCAGCACGGTCAGCAATTGCTGCAAATGGTCGCCGATGAAATCATTCAGCCTATCAGATGATTACGAGAGGCATATACCCGCTGTTCACTATCGATTTTCGCTGTCGTAGCTATTCACAGCTTGACTTGGCATTCCTTTTTGCGGGTCTGGGCAATGCCGTGTGAGTAATATGCCGTCGTGCCTACAGATGGACGCCTTACCTGAGGCTGAATCGGTGTTGTATTATGTATAAAGAGTAACATACAAGCTGGAGTAAAAGTCATCATCTTGAGTTTCTTCACACTTCTTCACACTACTTCATCTAATCCTCCAATCTCTATTACAAACGCCATTCTTCCCTCACATAATATACCATCAGCACCAATACATACATCATGACTACCGACACTATGGACTCAACCAAGAGCAGCAGTGACGAGTCTACCGTCATCTTGACACCCGCAGACACAGAACCCAAGGAGGAGGCCACAGAAACCAAGACAGAAGACCCCAAGACAGAAGACCCCAAGACAGAAGACCCCAAGACAGAAGACCCCAAGACAGAAGAAACACCAAAAGCGGACGAAGAGAAGAAGGAAAAGGTCATGGTCGGTCTCCTCACAGAAAGCAAAGATCTATACGCAAAGTTCGATAAGAACGGAGACCGATCATGGACAGACAAGTACCCCGACGATCTTGAGGAAGCAGCAGAGAATGAGGAGACACAAAAATACGCCGTCATCATCCGCAAGCGAAAGCCCAAGGAGGCTGACTCTAACAAGCCTCTCGACATTGACTCCCTCGTTATTCAATCCCCATACCTCAAGCGCGTGCTCGGAAAGGTCTTTGAGGACTATCCCGGTATCGTCACTGATGTTTCGCGCCTCAAGTTCCATGCTCCCTTTGAGTGCTTTGTTCATCGATGGGGTCAATTCACTGCCGCCAAGGATGACCCTAACTATGATCAAATCACCCGCGAGCATGTCTCGCTGTTGCATAAGATCATGAGGGATGAGTTGGGTGAGATTATCCAGCTGCGGGAGGATTACTTCAAGAACCGCGCTGTTGCCTTTGAGCATGTTTGGACTCTTTTCCCTCCTGGTTGCACAGTTTGGGGTTCTGTTAAGGGAAGACCCGTGGCTGTTCGCTTCGACTCTGGATACCTCGCGAAAACACAATGCGGTGGCCTTGCATACATGATGAACTGCAAGGGAATTGATTGGGATGGAAGAAGCATGGGATGGTGCGATATCACCATGCAGATCAATGACTTCCCCGGTACTGCCCCCTTCTCGAGCCTCTCATGCTATCCTCTAGAGTATCACCCCAACCATGATGCAGCACGAAACATGCTTCTCGAACGTGGGCGCAAGTTTGAGAGCCTTGCGGGCTATCACTACAAGGCATACAGTGGCACTGCCATCTGGTGGGTCAATGCGTCCAAGTCTCGTAAAGAGACTGTCAACTCACGCATTGTCATCGATGGAGCGAACTGGGAGAAGCAGAACCCTGATCATACCGTTTGGCTCAACTATCTGACCGGTGAAGGTCCTGTCGCCAGCAGTGATCGGGATAGTGATGCTGGTAATGATGACGACGGCGACGATTGCTATAGTGATTGTTACAGCGACTCGGGCGCCAAGAAGCCTGAGTTTGATGATGACCAGCGCGCTCCTCTCAGCGAAGAGCAGCTCATCATGACGGGTCCTATAGTCCGCGGCTATGCCCTCAAGAACAAGCGATGGATGGAGTTCTTCATTGATGATGTTACAGAGGTCAAGTTCAACGACAAGGCCTTTGACTCGCTTGTTCTTCCTGCCGATCAGAAGGAACTTATTCTTGCTTTCGCCCAAAGCCAGGTCAAGTTCAAGAATGTCTTTGACGATATCATCTCTGGGAAGGGTAAGGGTATCATCATGCTCTTGTCTGGTGGTCCCGGTATTGGTAAGACACTGACTGCTGAGTCGGTGGCTGAGGAGATGAAGGTTCCCCTATACATCATGAGCGCTGGTGATCTCGGCAGCGATGCCTACGACATCGAGGAGAACCTCCAACGCATTCTCGAAATGGTGGCCAACTGGAACGCTGTCCTCCTTCTCGACGAGTGCGACGTCTTCCTCGAGGCTCGCTCAGCGCATGACATCGAACGCAATCGAATTGTTTCAATCTTCCTTCGCATGCTCGAATACTACGAGGGTATTCTCTTCCTCACCACCAATCGCGTTAAAGACATGGATCAGGCCTTTCAGAGCCGAATCCACATGTCGCTGGAGTATCCTCCCCTCGACAGCACCGCCCGAGAGTCTGTCTGGCGAGGTTTCTTGAGCCGCGCTATCAGCGTAGATGCAAAGATGGAGGGCGAATCTGCGCATGAGATTAAAGAGGAAGAGATCAAGGCTCTGGCTGGTCTGGAGCTGAATGGTCGACAGATCAAGAACGTTCTCAAGACGGCGAATCTTCTGGCTTGTCATAAGGAAGAGAAGTTGGCGTTTTCTCATTTGAGGACGGTTTTGAGGGTTGAGGGTCACTCGTTGTAAGTTGTTAGGTATTGAAGATTTAGTGGGTGTTATTGTAGAACTGTAAATAGATACAACTCTCAATGCGCCATGCAAGCAGCCGTTGCCTATCCGTAAGCCAACCGCCGTGACTGAAAGTGCAAGTAATAATGACAAAGAACCCCAATTACATTCGAACAAAATACATCCCAGACCTTTCTCAAGTCCAAAATACTGTGTTTCCCAGGATAGCAAAGTGATATTACCAAAGAGTTGTAGTGATACACCCGTCTGCTCCTATAAGTGCTCCTCCATGTCTCTCCTCCACTTAACCCCGTGGATCTCGGTCATGAATTCCTCAACCCACGTCTCGAAAGGCTGACACTTCCAATTCAAGACGCCGTGAACCTCGGGGTCCCAATTCCGACGACCCGCGTGACGGAGATCAGATAATAGCATACGCACTATGCTCGAGAAAGCCTCAATATCCTTTGATGGGAGATTGCTGGAGTACTTCCTCACTAGACTGTGAGCCACGGGTCCCAGTCTATCGAGAGATCGATTTTGCCTCGGGCCATTTGCTATGAAACCCAGCATGTACTTCCTCGCGCTGGCGTTGGGGATAAAACAAACCCTATCTGCACACGCCTCGCCGTCAGGATGCTCACGCTGGCAGATCTTGAACTGCATGTCCTTGCCGAGGATAGGACATGGGGGTGCACAGTCATACTCTCCACCTGCATATCGATCGCTATCGTCGTCCCAGGAAGAGTTAGACGGCCGACTGAAGGCGACATAGTAGTGTTGGGCGGGCGATGAGTAAGATGGAGAGACGGCATCCCTCTTCTTCGTGAGGAGGTTGTGAAGACCGAGTTCGATGTCCTTGTAAAGCTGTGTGCGATAGAATCTGGCTCTCTCATCTGTATTTGCCATCTTGAATATAAAAAGACTGTGGGTTTCTGTGGGAATAAGTGTTTGTATGGGACTTCGGTTTTGAGAATGTGTTAAGTGTGATAAAATGTGGGAATATTGCGAGTCTTGAAAGACGAGAGTGTCTCGAGAATAATTACTTCTTGACAATAGATGAGTTACATGGTCGGAAGGAAGAGTCCTTTTTATAGAGACCTCAAAATATTTTGGTTCAGGTAGACTTCGCATTAATGTACAGTAACTTCAATATGTGAAGCTTGTTTGTTAAGAAGTTCTTTAGAACCACAAAGCATTGTCATATAGCACTCTACAGAGTTACCTTTTAAAAGAACTTATTGGGAATAGTGTTGGCTAAGAAAAGGTATTTTAAGATATTTTCGGTGTCTTAAGAAATTTATTGTGTACTGTTAATGTTGCTTCTTTCACATTTTTGCCCTTTCACTTTAACCTCCTTATCTATATTTAGTCAAATTTGAGTATCTTCAAGCTATCAAGTTTGACTCAGAAATACATTATTCACTGCAATCAAGTGAAATTACTACTAAGAACTCACACTGAATAAAAGAACGAGAATACTCTCGAATGGTGCGGCTATCAAGATGAGACTTTCACGGGAATGTGAGTGCTGCAAGTTCTTTATTACCTACAAACCATAATATAGAGTCTCTCGATAAATTAAGTCAGAGAGAGCATCAGCTGAGCCTCGCCATAGCTTTTAGACTTCAATTATAAAATTCACACAAGGCCTGTAAATTAAAGCAAACAAGCAATATTGCAGCCAGCCTAGCTTGCCGTAGCCTTCAAAGCCACCTAAAAACAAAGGTTTGGTGAAGTCGAAAGATCTCATGATATTGATATAGAGGGTATTGCAATTCTCATGATAGTTGGTTCAATTGAAGTAACTCAACTATCGAGGCTGACAAACTTGGTTTACCAACCACATTAGGCAATTCACAGCAATATATCGTGCTCAACCCCGCCTCGGCCCGCTATAAGCAGCTGAGGTGCGTGAGCATTTCAACTTCTTCATGTAGGGCGTGATAACAAAGGGCGCGCTTTGACACTAGTTCCTCTCCGATCATCATTTACTTTCCAATCTAGACAAAGTCAAGAACCCTAATATCCAACAGCTTATAAATTCGATACGGGATCATAGCTTATAAATCCAACTTCGAACCATCTATAAACGCAGCGCCAACCTGCAAGTATTGGTGGCATTAGCTACACTCAAACTATCAAAATGGCAGACTTTCAACCCAAGAGTATTCTCATTTTCGGCGCTACCGGTAACATCGGACGATATATCACGAATGCTATCGCCAATGCCCAAGCAGCATTCGATCAGGTGGCCATCTTCACCTCAGAAGACACAGTTACCAGAAAACCAGAGTTGATCAAAGAGCTCAAGTCAAAGGCCGTCAAGATTATCACAGGACATGTCAATAATCCGGAAGACATAAAGAGGGCTTACCAAGGCGTTGATACTGTCATCAGTGCGGTAGGACGCAATGTCATCGAGACACAGATCGAGCTCTTTAAACTCGCAGCTGAGTCTGGTTCAGTGAAGTGGTTTTTCCCTTCAGAATACGGCACAGATATCGAATACGGTCCTCAGAGCGCCAGTGAGAAGCCTCATCAGCTGAAACTCAAGGTACGAAAGTACATTCGAGAGAACTCCAATGGCCTGAAATATACTTTTGTCGTTACGGGGCCATATATCGACATGTACTTTACCCTGTCGCCTGATGTTATCGAAGCTGGAGGGTTTGATCATAAGAATAAGAAGGTGGTCTTGATTGATAATGGGGAGGGCAAGATTGGCTTTACAACTATGCCTGAGTAAGTTTCATCGAGATCACTCTCCAAGTCTTTCTAGAGCTGTGGCTAATGTTCTCTAGTGTTGGAAAAGCCGTAGTCGCTGCTCTTCATCATCCCGCAGAGTCTTTCAACCGTGCTCTGATCGTCCAATCCTTTGTCGTCAACTCTAAGCAGATTCTCAAGGAGCTTGAGAAGCAGACGGGAGGTGAGCCATGGGAAGTTTCAAGCTACACTCTCGATGAGTTGAGGGAAGCAGAGAAGAAGGGGTGGGCCTCTGGAAATCCCAAGGCTGTTTCATATACCCTTCGACGAATTTGGTCTGAGGGCGGCACGCTTTATGATAAGACGGATAACGAGAGGATTGAACTCAAGGAGGAAGACCTAGAAACTCTGGAGGATGCTGTTAAGAGGGAGCTTACGACTGGATACTGATCAAAACCATGTAGAGATCCCAAACATATATGTTTTGATTGCAAACGCTGAGCTTTCTGACTTCTTTATATCTGGAGTCCATAATAAAACTAAAAATAGTCCAGTCTTATCCAGGATTCAAGTCTTGGGAAACCCAAAGAATGAAAGCCTAGTTAGGATACAAAAACCCTTCGGTTGAGATGTACAAGAATTCAGATTCACTGAAATTGGCGCTTCCACTTATATTCGCATTGTTCATTTCTCAGATACCCATTCGATGTCGCATCACACCCCAATCTAAGGCCACCAAAGCCAGTTGATCTCCATGTCAGCAAGAGGGTTGCGAGGAAACCAGTCAGGAAGATATTCGCCCCATCCCCAGTAGTTTCCGGCCCCCATAGGATGATCGGCACACATTCGAATATTCATGACATCGACATCGGGAGGGAGGTCATTGGGATCCCACTCCATGGGTCCAAGACGACCGCATTTCTCCTTGGCCATGGGCCATTGATCGGCTATGGCTACGGTAGCGAGACCAGCCGCGAGAAGGACTTGGGGCTTCATATTGGCTCTGGGGTGAGATGTCAACAAAAATCCGAAGATAAGTGGAAAATGCTTACTTCTTGTGATCTAAATGGTTGTGTTGGTATGGTGGTAGGAATTATGGGTAATGAAGAAATAAGGTTAAAATAAAGAGTGAGACTGAACACGAGAAATGAAAAAAGCTCAGGTATATAGTCTGTCACTTTGCCTATTCCGAAACGTGGCGCTTGTCCAAATGGCCTGGATGCCTAAAAGAAATGGCTGCGCTGACGCAAGCTAAGGAGAGGCACAGCTTCGGCTCTGGGATGACCTGACACAATACAATATGAAGGATCATAATGCTGAATTCATGGAATGAGCCTAGGGATTCGCTTGTAGCAGTCAGATAAGCTAACTCTAGCTACACAAGCGCCTCTTGATGGCCTGTCAGTCTTGGTCTGGCGTATGCAGGCCGCTAATTTGGTCTAGACGCTCCACCTGACAGCTTTAGGGCATGCGGCCTGGAGCAAGATGCAGGAGAACTATGGTATTCCGAAGTGGATATGTGTTCATTGCGAATCAATAAAATCTCATGGAATTGACCAGATTGTAGGTTTTATTGTCCACCAGGCTTGAAAGAGACAAGTTCAGCAAGATACGAGTCATCGTGTGACTGACGACAAGGGTCATCTGCTGCGCCTCGAATCCTTCAGTCTACAATCATCCCCATGACTGGCTGAGTTTACTTGATCAAATTCCTGGAAACCGTCGAGTTACAGATCGATCCATTGGTCAAAGTGGATGTCTTTGTCACAGCAGCCAGTCACGGCTTTAGAGGTTGATATTGCACCAACAGCCAAGCATTTAACAACAACCTCTTGAATGTCACGTAGGGCTGAAGACCGCGACAGTGGTAACGGTTCAAGACTATCTGGCTTTTTGATAAATTCGGGAGTTTCCTTTTTCTGTTAAGCTGTACGAATAGATGACCCGACGCATGAAGCTTATAGCAACGTGTCTAGACTACCCAGAGACTATTCAGGAAACTCATGCAGAAGATCACCTTTACGGTAAGAATTTCAGGTTGTTGTGGGGAAATGACAACTACTTATATCTATATTTAGTGACTAGGAAAACCCAAAGCAGATTTATAGTTTGTGCTAACTACATGGCTTCCTTCCCCGAGCAAGAAACAGTTGTTGTTCACCACCAATCTCTCTTGGTACTTGAGACGGCGCCGAGGTCAATTTCCACTCCCAATCTTCAAGTCCAGCCGTATCATATGAGCTCTTTACTTCACTCTCTTGAAATCCCATTCTACTAATCGCTCCCAGCGTTCGATTTTCTGTCTGAGCACTACTGCCCGCAGAGCTTATAACCCAGTCAATGATAAGTAAAATTCCTCCTGGTCTCAGCCGTTTTGAGAGCTGCAATACCATGTTATCCGGGTCTTCGATATGATGAAGAGCCATGCACATGACTACCACGTCAAAATCAAAGAATCCTGGCGTGTCGGTTTCCGGAGATGGCGTCAATTCGGGATCGATAAGATCGGCCTGAATAGCTCGCATTTTTGTCGAGGTATAGCCTGCTTTCAGTGCCATCTTGTTATACTGCTCTACCATTCCTGATGCTATATCCATGCCTCTCACTGTAGACATGAACGGTGCGAGTGCCTCATAAAAATCAGTATAGAGTTCAACAGTTAACGTCGTTAGGTCTTACCCGAGACGCGACGCCATCACCGCAGGCGTAATCTAACAGTTTTGTCGGTCTTGAAGATGGTGGCTTGATACCAATCCAGTCTATATTCGCTCGTAGCTCTTTTGATATTTGATTGCACAACTCAATAATCCAAGGCCATCGGAATAGCGCTGGGGGAGCATTGCTGGCACAAGTTAGTTCTTGTGAGAGTCATAGTAAGGAAAGGGCCATACTTGTAATGAGACTTGTTATGTTCCCCCATTGATCTCGGGACTTCGTGAGACGGACCATGGTGATGATGATGATGAGCATGATACTGCAGATGGTGGTGATGATGATGGCAATGGGGTACATCCTCCACAGGTTCACGCTCCATTTTGACAAGAGGTTTAACAACGGAATTGCCAAGGTATATAGTATATTCAATTCAAGTTCCGCGATGTCCAAAACAGTCGAAGATGAGGTTTGCGAGCAAAAAGCTAGGTATCTTGGTCTAGCGACACCAAAAGGGTTGGTAGGTGAGAACCCTGATGGACTCTTACATCAGTCTGCCAGAAGCCACACAACAGATGAGTTCGTATCCCAAGAAGCGAGCTTGAGGATGCGTCACAGTTTCAAATTGACTCAATATTGATGTTTTTCTTTTTCCCCACAAACCTACGTGGTCATGACTGTTCTGTTTATTGCTACAGACAGGTCTCAGAAGCGCAATGATCTTCATCACTGCTTCGATGAAAACCAATGTAGTTAACGAGTATTGCTTCAACTTAACTATAGATCATGTTTTTGATATACCTGAGATACTGCTTGAAGGGTACCTTGGCTTTAGGTGAGTGATCATCTGCTCGCACTTCAGTCATATCAAGATCGCCTTCACCCTTTGGTCGCCAAAAGTTCCGCCGATGCTTGAAACTCAAAATGTGATTTCATGGTACGGATGAGCAATAGGAACGTGATAGGAATCACACTTCTGTAGTCAACTGGAGCTTGCTTTTCTCCCTAGGAAGGCTATCGAAGCTTGCGGAAATCCCAAAGAAAACAGAGCAATCGATCCAGTCTTCCTGTTGCTGTACCTGATATCAAATATGGAGTGCTCCAGGGTATCCAATCAAGATGTGGATAAGGTGATGATTGTATACCGACAGCGGTACGATAAGCTCCAACTGCTTATCAGACTTACTACCCCAATTTTCTTAAAACGATCGTTTTCTACCCCAACTTCATCCGTCAATCATGATTAACTTCCCCAATGTTACATGGGGTTCAGGGATCAGCAACGTCATATTGTAACAAGACAAACTGAACGGGGGAGGTATCACGTGTATTGGGGAGATAATGAACACAAATTCCTCATCGAATCATGACTTGAGCACGAGTGTTGACCTATCTCGAAGTCGAATCATTTTTCATTCTATCAGAAATCCTGCATCATGACTGGTTTAGCGCAAAGATATGAGATCAATGCCGATATGGGAGAAGGCTTCGGCCGATGGAAAATGGTAAGATTTCTGGCATGCTGTGTTTTGTTTCTAAGTTAATCAAGATTCAATAGGGCCCAGATGAGGAACTTATGCCTTTGATAGATGCAGCAAATATTGCATGTGGTTTCCACGCTGGTGATCCATCCATCATGCTTAAGACAATTCGTCTCTGCAAACAACATGGTGTCAAAGCTGGTGCTCATCCCGGCTTACAAGACCTCTTTGGCTTTGGACGCCGAAAAATGGAAATCGACCCCAAGGACATGTATGCAATGGTCTTGTATCAAGTTGGAGCCCTAAAGGCAATGCTGGATGCCGAAGCTGTTGGGCTTTCTCACATAAAACCTCACGGAGAACTCTTCTTCTACATGCAGAGAGACAAGGTCATAATGAGAGCTGTACTAGAAGCTTGTGCAACTTTCAAAGTTCCAGTATACGCCTGCCAGAACCCAGAACAGGAGGCCATGTGTAATGAGATGGGCGTTCCGTTTCAAGGAGAGGTCTATGTCGATATCGACTATTCACCAGAGGGAAGACTTGTCCCTTTTGCGCAATCTCATCCTGTAACACCGGAGTTGTGTCATGAGCGGGCGTTTGGTGCGGCCATGAAGGACACAGGGAAGGACATTAACGGAGATCCATTCAACTTTGGATTCAAGGGGAAGCCGTTCAGCATATGTCTGCATTCTGATTCGCCGACTGTGTTGGAAAATGCGAAGCTGGTTCGACAGGCGGTGGATGAAGCGAACCGAAAGAAGTTTTCTTCACAGAATACCAATGGTCATAGATTGTAGACATTATCTCAAGAGGATGGGTACAGAAGGAAACCTGGTTTTCATAGAAATTAAAAGCTATGTGACAAATTCAACTCAAATGATTTTGAAGGCCTGTTGACGTCCAGTATTTACTCTTAAAATACTACCAATCTACTGCCATGACTTGAATCTTTACTGTGTTTAAGCAACAGATCGGGAGACGTACCGACAACATGGCAGTCTGACACATGACACACCTCCAAGTAAGAACTTGACTCGTTTCTCGCTAAGAATGTCAATAAGATGGCCAGAAGTCCAGACCGTTCAATCTGTCCCCAAAGAATGCCGGTCCGGGTCACACATGACGAGCTATCAATGCGGGGATGGTAGCTTAGCTCCTAGCCCCCCCTGTCCCTCATATCAAGGGTCGCGCGATAAGAGTCGAATGGTTGGGGTAGAAATAGGATGTCTAGATTACCTATCGCAAGCCACTTCGTCTAGTAAGTGATAATAAGGTAGTATAAATCATATAGATGTCTCGATGATCTGCGTTGCTGTGGTGCTTTAAGACAAGGTGCAGTCTTTAAGTACTTTTCTTCTCGAAATCCACAGAATTCTCATTGCTGTCCCTATTGTCTCATTGATATTTACTTCGTGATCAAATACTGGTGCAATGACTTCTGGAGTCGCCATTCCTGGAACCGTCCAGCTCGTTGATGTCCAAGGCATCTTCAACGTGAAACATGGCCAACAATCACGCGACATCGTCCTCGTTCCGCAGCCCACTGACGACCCCGATGATCCTCTTCGCTGGAATATCCCTCGAAAGACAAGGAATATCATCTGCGCCATGGTATGGTGCTTCTTCGTGGCTGCTATGATTTCTGGTCTGTCACCAGCGTACATCTTGATCGAGGAAGACACTGGTATTTCGATCGCAGACCTGAGTACTGGCAATGGAATTCTGTTTCTTTTCCTTGGTTGGGGGACCATGATTACCCAATGCGTTGCTCTTGCATATGGCCGACGCCTTACTCTTATTGTTTCTGTCATTCTCACCACTGGAATCACTCTTTGGACTGCGTTTATCAAGTCAAGAGGAGAGTTCTTCACAAACCGAGTTCTGCTTGGTATCTGTGCTTCACCCCAAGAGACTCTCATCGAAGTCATTATTGGAGACATCTTCTTCGCACATGATCGAGGCTTCTACATGGGTGCCTATAGCTGGACTCTATGGTGCGGCGCGTTCCTCGCACCCGTGGCATCTGGCTATGTTGCCCAGGAGCTCGGCTGGCGATGGATCCAGTACATCCTCGCAATAATCGGAGGAAGTGTCGCTATTATCACCTTTTTCCTGTTCGAAGAGACTATGTTCTACCGCCACCACGACGTCGGAAACTTATCTGATACAGCTGCGCTCGACCCAGCTACCATCAAAGCCTCTGCGACAGTCGGAAAAGACATCGAGACTCCATCAGAGAAGCAAAACCCTTCTGTTCAAGACGAGAAGTTCACATCAAGATCTATGGAGGCAACGGCGTTTGCATCAGGTGAGAGCGAAAAGACCTATCTGGGAAAGCTTAAGGTCTGGGGTTATCACGACTCCCGACAGCCTAGCACCTTCAAGCTCTTCTTCCTCCCCATCCGCCTGCTATTTTCGTTCCCCGGTATTGGTTTTGGTGGTCTTCTCGTCGGTGGGATTCTCGCCTGGTATAACGTTGTGGGAGGTTCCCTGGCTCTGATCCTGGGCAATCCTCCTTACAACTTTAGCGCCAACAACATTGGACTCACGTACCTTGCTTCTGTTGTCGGTGTCACTGTTGGATGCTTTCTTTCGGGTTGGATGTCAGATGCCCTGGCATTGTTCCTTGCCCGTCGAAATGGAGGTGTCATGGAACCCGAGCAGCGTCTCTGGACTTGCCTTGTCGCTCTTGTCATGCATCCGGCGGGTTGTCTGTTGTATGGCGTTGGCGCTTCGTATCATATCCACTGGTTCGGAGTTGTCTTTGGCCTCGGGTTGATCTGCGTAACTCTTCCCATGGGCTCCAATCTCGCCTTCACTTATATCCTTGACACTTACAAGGAGGTCGCCGGCGAAGGTCTTGTATCGACCATCTTGATTCGCAACATGATGGGTATGTACACAGTTCAATCGCCATATCTTCACTACTAACACTACCCAGGTTTCGCGTTTGGGTACGCCGTGGTTCCAATGATCGAGAACCTTGGACTTCGCAATGCCTTCATCCTCATTGCCGTGTTGGGAGAGGCTGTCTGGTGCACTGCGATCATGATGATATATGTTGGCAAGCCTCTAAGAAGATGGACCGCGCATTCTTATTGGAATCTCATTGAGCATTACGGCGCGACTGCTCATTGATCTCGTCCCTCAGGTACTAAGCTCCAGTGGTAGAAAAGCAGAGACTTGGTGTCATCCGGCCAAGCAGTCTATTTCTTCTAGATAGTTTGAATCAAACAAATGCATTTTTGATTGAATACCGTTGCATCTCTGCCGTAATTGTTACTTTGAAGCCTGATGCGTACCAGCGATTACTGAAGTCCCGTAAATACTGGCATTATCCGTCCTCTCAATTTGCTCTCCCATAGTTACTTAATGTGTACGTGGCAGTGCGGATTTCAGTATCTCTCAGATCCAAAAATTTAGCTTGTTACCAAATGCTTCCGAAATAGCCTCTATAGGTCATCACAGCACTTTTACATCTGTATCCCCTGTGACCTCAATGAGCTCACTGACATGGGGATCCTGTTACACCTCCCAATTTCTACCCCGATGGCTTGCCTCATTAGGAACGCAAATCCCGTGTGCCCGAATTCTTGCCTCTTTTGATCACCCCGCGTTGGGGTAGATAAGCTATCGAGATAGTGCATCTTAACCTGGAGGTGGAGAGGCTATCCCCAGTTTTGATAACACCTCCAAGCTGCTGTTCATCAACTCATACGTTCGTTCCATGTTCTTGACCAGTTCATAATAAGTCCAATTTTTCGGACAATTACCCAAAATTTACCTTTCTTCTCACACCTGGCTTTTCATACCTTGTTCTTTTTTAGCGAACTCCAATTCGCTACAGTTACAGTCATGGGTTCACTTGACTTACACCCACTACAGCACATTCGCAAGGTGTTGATAGCGAATCGAGGCGAGATTGCTGTTCGCTGCATATATGCCTGTCGAAAACTTGGACTTCATGCTGTCTCAGTGTTTACCAATGCAGATGCAACCTCTCTGCATGTGAAGTTGGCAGACGAGGCAATCCTTTTACCGGGCGAGGATAGCTCGGCTTATACAGATGGGTAAGTACAGAGGATTCATCTTACCAACCCACAGCATCTACTGATTAATGACTTATAGGGATGCCATATTGGAAATCTGCAAGCGCACAGGCGCAAATGTCGTATTTCCCGGATATGGCTTTCTCAGTGAGAACGCAGAGTTCGCTGACACAATTTCCTCTGCTGGCATCGTCTTCGCTGGCCCCTCCACAGCTTCAATAAGAGCCATGGGCCTAAAGCACGAGGCCAGAGGTATCGCGCAATCGGCCAATGTTCCAGTCATCCCTGGCACTCAACTATTAGCTACTGCTGAGGAAGCCACCAAAGCGGCGACAGAGTTAGGCTTCCCGGTCATGCTGAAAGCCACTGGAGGTGGCGGTGGCATGGGTCTTCAGATCTGTAATTCAGCAGATGAAATTGCAAAGGCGTTTGCTATGGTTGAGAGTCGCGCTGGTACGCTCTTCAAGAATAAAGGAGTATTCTTGGAAAAGTACTACCCTCGTTCTCGTCACATCGAAGTTCAGGTTGCAGGCAACGGTGAGATCGTTGTCGCTTTTGGAGAGCGCGAGTGCTCGTTACAAAGACGTCATCAGAAAGTGGTCGAGGAGTCTCCGAGCCCATTCTTGGAACGCCATGCCGGACTACGCGAAAGAATGCTCGACGCAGCCATCAACTACGCACTCCAGCTGAAGTACAAGAGCGTTGGTACAGTTGAGTTTCTTGTTGACGACGACACTGCACAGTTCTTCTTCCTGGAAATGAACACTCGACTACAGGTCGAACATGGTATCTCTGAGCTATGCTACGGAGTTGACCTGGTCGAGTTGATGTTAAGACAAGCAGATTATGAACTTCAGGGCCAACTTGGCATCCCCTCCGAGACTCTCAAGGGACTTGGCAGACCGCAGCCTCTTGGCTCAGCGATCGAAGTTCGTGTTTATGCCGAGATACCGCTCTGCAACTTCGCCCCTAGTCCTGGTGTTCTCCAACACGTTCATTGGCCACAAGGCGATGGTGTGCGAGTTGACACTTGGGTCCAAAGCGGCCAGCGCATCACTCCTCTTTACGACCCCTTGATAGGTAAGGTTATGGTTCATAGCCCCGGCGGACGAGAAGCTGCGCGACGCAAGATGCTTGCAGCACTGGCGGATACACAACTTCAGGGGACCCAGTCTAACTTGGAGTACCTCTCTGCAATTCTCGACTCGGAATTATTCGCAAGTGGGAACACCCTGACCAATTCACTATCGACTTTCCACTTTAAGAGTTGCTCCGTGCAAGTCCTTGAGCCTGGTGTATCCACCACGATCCAAGATTATGCAGGGCGCGTCTCTGTTGGACACGGCGTGCCCCCAGGAGGGCCCATGGATGACCTTAGTGCTCGGATAGCAAACATTTTGGTTGGTAACGAGGAAGAAGTTGAGTTATTGGAGGTGACCTTATTTGGTCCCAAACTGCTGTTTCATGAGGCTGCAATTGTCAGTGTTTGTGGTGCCGAGCTTCCCATTGCGGTCGATGGTAATCCACAGCCACTATGGTCCAGACTTGTGGTCAAACATGGTCAGACTTTGACTCTAGGTAAGGTCACTGGAAGTGGTGCGCGAGCATACCTGGCTGTTAGAGGTGGCTTTCCCGACGTCCCGGCGTTCCTCGGCTCCAAGTCAACCGCCCCTGAGCTCGGATTCGGTGGCTACCAAGGTCGAAAACTCCAGACACACGATATCCTCGCACTGAGTCCTGATTCCAACGTGCGAGCTGCCGAAGCGACACCGTTCACCCTTCCATCCCACCATGTACCCAAATTCGGAAGCACCATTATCTGTTGTATTGACGGGCCGTACGGTTCTGATGATATCCTGACAGAGGAGGGATCGAAGACGCTGTATGAAGGGGAATGGAATGTCAGCCACAACAGTGGTCGAAGTGGTATACGCTTGCAAGGACCGCGATTGAAGTGGGCTCGAACATCTGGAGGAGGTGGAGGATCACATCCATCTAATGTGTTCGAGTACGGGTATCCTAATGGCGGTGTCAACTTTACTGGAGAGTCTCCCATCATATTTGCCAATGACCGGCCTGATCTTGGTGGTTTTGTCTGCCCAACGACAATCTGCTCTGGAGAGATGTGGAAGCTCGGTCAACTCAAACCCAGTGATACCGTTCGGCTGCAATCCGTGTCATACGAAGATGCTCTGAAGATCACTCATGAGAAGAACGCCTATCTTGAAGCTTTGGCGGCCTTCGCTAATGGAAAGTCTGGGGATGTAAGTGCTCTCCAAACGCCCATCGTCGCGAAGGCCCCATCCTCCATTCTGCATCAGTCACCCGCAAGGGGCGTACATCCCCAGGTGATATATCGTCAAGGAGGTGATACCAGCATAATTGTACAGTATGGCAACCAGACTTCGGACTTGCGAAACACGGTCTGTGTGCAATTGCTCACCCAGCAGCTGGCAGCTGCGAAACTGCCCAGTGTGCGAGGTGATCCTAACATCGCCACTCTCACTGTACGCTTTGATCCAGTCCACATTGATCGTTCCGAGCTTCTCCAACAGCTTCTGGCCTTTGATACGAACATTGGCGATACTAGCGGTGTGAAAATTCCGGCTCGACAAATAAGACTGCCTGTCTGCCTCGACCACTCTTCACTCGAGGAGTCGGCGCAGCGGTATATGGAGAACATCAGACCTACAGCTGCATATCTCCCAGATAACGTCGAATATCTCCGCAAGAACAATGCTCTTGCGACGCGTCGAGACGTATTGGACTCTCTCCTCAAAACACCATGGTTGACAGTTGCCGTTGGTTTCTTCGTCGGAACACCCATCCTATTCCCTCTCGACCCGTGGCGCGTGTTGACAGGCCAGAAGTATAATCCCAGTAGAGGCTATACGCCGAGTGGCTCGGTAGGATTGGGAGGGTCAACAGTCGCCATATATCCTGTTGCTGCACCCGGAGGATACCAACTCATGGGCCGAACACTTGGAGGCTGGGATTCGACAGGTAACCGGCCTGGCTTCTCTCCCAAGAAGCCTTGGCTGTTCAATCACCTTGATCTCGTCAGTTTCTACGAGGTGACTGAACAAGAGTATGACAAGATGGAGCGAGATTTTGAGGCTGGTCAGTATAATTTTGACATTAGCGAAACAGCCATCGATATGGATCAGTACATCGCCAAGTTTGACGCTGCAGAGAAGGATCCAGAGTATCAATCATGGCGAGACCGCCAATCAAAGGCAGCCGATGAGCTGGCTGCACTTGAGCAGAGTCTGTTCGATGAATGGACCATCTCAAAACAGTCCAGTGGTGGTGCAGACGAGGACGGCGACATTGACTCGGACGAGATTGCTGTTATTGAATCGCCTGTAAATGCGAATGTCTGGAAAGTCCTTGTCAAGCCTGGTGATATCCTGGAGGTAGGACAGACTGTAGCGGTTCTTGAAGCCATGAAGATGGAGATTAATTTGGTTGTTGGTGAAGATCAGGTCGGCGCTGAAGTAGTAAAGGTTGCTCAACCACCGGGCAGTGTTGTAAGCCCGGGAACGATCGTTGTAAAGGCCCGGAGAAGACAAGACTAAAAGATAGTGTACATTAAATTGAGACAACAATTGGAATAGCTACGAATGCCAAACTCTCGCTTCATGTAAAGAGGTTGAGTAATCTTGAGATTAAACTTTGACTAAGGTGCCTTTATCTGGACGATCGGGAATAGTGCTGGGAGGTCACTGAAGGTCACTGGATGCTAGCGGTCATGGTTACCGGTTCAGCGGTTATACCGTCACGTGGTTCCACTCGACCGGGCCGGTCTTGGAGGGTCCTGGGACCAACCCCAGTTCTTCTGTCAGTTATCGACTACGGTCCACGAATACTCCCTGTCTGACCTGGTTGGTATGAAGATGTTGGAACTGACCAATTTTAATATTCCTTTCCGTCAGACGTAGCTCAAGTCGCCAATTCTGTATCCAAGGATGCAGTCCAGTAGACCGCCCGCACCGATGATATCACAGACTAAACGTCCCACTTTACACCATGAAAGGCAGACCTCGGCTCCCTGTCCCTCTTTGCAGGTTCTGCAATAAGGAGTTCAAG